GTTGGGTTTAAGAAAGTTGGGTTTAAGAAAGTTGGGTTTAAGAAAGTTGGGTTTAAAGAAGATGGGTTTGGAGAAGGTGGATCTAAGGCACGGTGTAAATAACCTGATACTCCTGGCCAATCACATCGCATGAACAAAGCGTATCTAAGTATAACCACACTATCCCCAAAGTTAGTGTGCATCAAGCAACATCACGCGAAATATGTTCGTCTGGCTGACATTTTACCTGGTAAAGAAGCTTACGACCCCCTCATCTAGAAATGCATGAGTGTAATGTGACTCCGAATGCGCACTCGTAGAATTATTTCTGGGACTACTGGGACGTTTCCTATATCATTACTGTGTTCGAGGCCTCCATGGCGCATCTAGAAACATGGTGCCATGCAGCCCAGCATTACGGAGCGCGTTGTCATGCATGCTATACATGTCTTAACCGTGAGGGGCGAGCAAAGCCAGGTCTGCCAGGGGGGAAGTGAAGGAGGGTGTACGAGGGAGTACGAAACATAGACATACCCAGTACACAATGATAAGACCAAATACCCGGGAAATGGACCAAAAAAATTGGCCGGGGTGCTTGGCTCAATGTACAGTCTTCGATACAAGCCACTCAGGCTTGACATGCTTCACTGTCATGCATCGTGCGAATGACAGCATGTGTCAAAAAGCGGGGGTAATCAAGCTGTAGTGCTTCCACTCGAACTTTGTGGCCTAGGTCCTTGAACAAGGATAGGGTGGAGGAGGTAGGTCCGTAATGCAGCATAGATGGGGGTGGGAGCTTTCCAAGTAACAGTTATAAATGTAACCATGCTCACAGCATCTGCAATTGGCACGATACTGACCTCGAGATTCAGTAATTTTACATATTCACCATTTTATACATAATCTCTCCTGTTCTCTTTGAGTGGCGATGGGTTGCTTTGCCAACATTATTCCTCTTTGGAAGTATATCACAAAGTTCCTGGGGGTAATCAAAAGCAGGCCCCCAAAGCATATGGTCAGGAATATACGCGCATTTTGCATATGTATCTGTCTAACAATGGCTTAGCCTATAATCTTCATTGGCGTGGAAAGGGGGCCCGACGACCTCGTGGTTACTTTCCTTCGTGGCTTGTTCCGTGACCGTCTTCCCTGGAGCGACTTCAAGGCAATTGGGCAGCCTGCCATACTCGCAGTTGCCAGAGCTGGTTGGACCTTCGAAGAGTTGAATACTCTAGCCGACTTGATTAGGGAAGGGAGATTTGTTGAGGAGATGTTGGATAGAGCCCGTGAAACGGCGAGGAATAACCGTATATGGATTCATAGCCGAAATTCCTCTGAACCAACCAGCCAGTTTGAATGATTTAGCCAGCCAATAGGCGCGATATATAGAGCCAGATATGTATGATTAACGTACATACGACAGCGCAGTAGCGCATGAGTCGTCAATGCACAGCAACAGGGCAATGCATCTCATACCTGGCATGTCGTATTTTACCATTAGCTATGTCTCTTTAGGACTGGGATAATGTTAGCCAGTCGTTTAAGCCAATTGCTTAATCTCACGCGAGATCTGATCCTATTAAACCCCTAGAAGCTCCCAAAAATGCGTTTCAATAGTTCACCTTGCCATCTCTCCTTCTCCTCATATACAACATGGCTAGCCTGCAAACACAGTTGGATACATTTAAAGAGATCATTGAGAAATCCCGGATAAATTACATCTGTCCACAATGCCTTAAGGGGTTTCCCCGTCCTGACGTCCTACGCCAACATTTCCAAAGCGAGAAAGACGATATACATCAAGGTCTCGCTATGAAAGATACCGACTTTGGCACGTTCTATGTCAACTATCAGATAGCTATTAAGGCTTTTCTTCCTGCTTCGTTGTTGCGATATGGTCCAGATTGTTTCAAGCCAAATTTTGTAGTAGAGCATTATAAGGACGATTCTGAAGCTGGTTGGTGACTACCTCCCCTGCTGGATTTTGGTATTGATTCGCTGAAAACAAAACTTTCTTCTTAGGTCAAATGCCCTCCTTTACCTGGCCAGAAGGGCTATATGAACACGAAGAGATGTTTGTCCAGCCCTAGGATCGCTCTCCAAGTGAGCCACAGCAGAAGAAGCAACTTTCCAGGACATTAAAGGGAAACCATGGTCTAATGTCGGTGAAGAGTGTGGACTACGCATGGGGCTTGTTGGTAAGAGTAAGGATATTAGGAGACTGATCAATTCGTTTAAAATCTAACAGGATGGCCCATGTGGTGAACTTGCGAGGAAGTGTATAATAGCAAATCATTCAATGAGCATCTCACTGGCTCTTGATCACTACATGTATAAGCTTTCTGGCGTACATAGCTTCCACATTAGGTTATAAACAGTCGATGGGAGCCTCAGATGTAGATATCCAGCCTAGTGATGATAAAATGCCGAGTGCTGTCTTAGCAATTTCATTAATCCTCCGGCTCATGCCCTGTGCGTGTTCGAGTCAAGGAAGTAGGGAGAGGCGAGAGTATCAGTCAATTAGCCTAACTTAGACTATATCAATATGGTAAAGAATTGCTCTCGCTACTCCGTACCAAGGATTGTGTTAATTCTGCCAGCATATGGTGCAGTCTATCGGTGTCATCTTACAATACACCACGTATCGTCGTCGAACATAGGAAAATATGCTCCCAGCCTTCTATATATACAGCATTTTCCCACGTCACAGAGTCTCCTCACTTGGTGCTACATGATCATCAATATGTCCAGTCTTGAAAGGCAGTCCAATACTCAGAAGAAGATCCTCCGGCTGTCATCAATGAATTATCTGTGTCCAGCGTGCCTCCAAGGTTTCTCACGCTCCGACATTTTATACCAGCATTTCCGGGATGGGGATAAGATTCATAGAAGACTTGATTTGAGTCAAAAGAATTTCAAAGATTTTTTTGCATGCTACTAGAGATATCTTAGAGTTTTGATCCCCGCGAGATGTCACGGGGCATACTGGGTGCGCATTCCAGGTACTTCCCGCTGCACTATCAGCAAAAGGACTAGGATGTAAAGCCAATGGCTTTACACTGCGCACGCTATATAAGGGTATTCAGGAACAGGATTCAGGCAGGATTCAGGCAACCACACACGGGTTCAGGTAGGCAGGCAGGCAGGCACCGTGACACGAGAAAGCTACCTAAATAGCCAGGGTGCTTTAAGCTTCAGTTTATAATTAAATACTATAGTATAAGATTCTATGACCCGCTTAATAATTATTTATTAATTAATTAAAAAGATTAGTTAAGGATATTTTCTCTTATACATATATTTAAGGATATTTTAACTCCTTAGAATATTCCTGAGGCCGTCTACACGGCGCTAAAAGTAAATAGGCCGGGCCTAATCAGCAACCAGAAAATGACTATAGGCAAGTCTATTTGGATCAATCACTAGACTATCTTATCTGCTGGTTTTATTCTCCTGGTCATTGTTTCTTCCATGGTAGTAATTAGGCAAAATTTCTAGTAGGGACACATTTTATCGCTAAATACCTAGAGCAAAATTTAATACACAGGTTGTGCCATGCAATATACCTTCATACCTGATTGACTCGGATTCATCCAGAATCTTCATCAATGAGAGGTATATTCCAGGGCCCCTGCTCGCGTGACGTACCTTTTAATTCCCGCTAGTATGTTTTCAACATGACCAAGACGTACTTCTAGTGAGGGCCTGGCAGGAATTCCCCATTCTCTTAGGTCTCGAAGTACTGAAAGATGCCGTTGGTAATGGCTGATCCTTACGTATCTTCGGTAGCGTTGGGGTTTAAGGGCTAGCTGAAGCATATGCGAGATACGCGGAATCATTGGCCACAGGATGAACGATCTGTATCCAGGTACATCTCGGCGTCATTCATTCGCTTCGCGGGAAATTGGAAGCTAGTGCATTCGCATTCCATGGAGAATGTGAGGTAATAATATAGTTCATACAGTGATTGCGCTAGGTGCTAATAAGTCCATCTATGGGAAGGAGTAAACAGAGCTGGGGCTCTCTCACGTATGGCCGTTTGATATATCGGATCGTGGTTCAAAAAGGAAAGCCTGAACAGAGGTTTCTTAAGCGAAGAGATATCCATCCACTGTACAGATAACGCCTACCCCCTTTCTCACCCATTCGCAGGTCTCTTTTACGTAAGCCACGGATGTGAAAGCAGGTCCTCCGCCGTGGTCCGGTCCTCAGGCCTCCAGCGTAGCGTTCTAGAAATAAAGTCTACAAACAGAGGCATTTCGTCGTCACCATCAATTTCTTTAGCCATAGAGACCAGATCCTTTTTTCCAATAAGCTCGGGAGTTTTAAATTGTCCTTCAGTTCAGTTAGCTGCGTCTAGCTAGGACATAAGTAGCATACCTTCAGCGTCAAAATACCGATATGTTTCTTCTCCCCGGCTGAGAAGATCAAGTGGAGGAGGCCCCAGGAGAGAAATTATCTGGCCCAGATGGGCTTCGTCTGTAGAGCCTGAGCCGCACGAGTCCGGTGGTATATCAAATGGCCCATGGCCATAGAACAGGTCCCAAAGCTAATAAACCATTAGTAGTGATCAGAATTATGATAATGAGGACGTTACCAGAACTCCCAAGTTCCAAATGTCAGCACTATAGCTCCAATCACCCCCAAGACAAACTTCTGGGGCCCGATATCCCTCTGGCTGGATGGGGTGGCTATTCGGAGGGCCGTCACCGTGTATAGCAAGCCCAAAGTCAGTTATTACCGATCTACCTAGTTCATCGGGCGACAGTCCCCAGAAATTTCGGGATAAGTATATGTCCCGACCGTCTAGTTGTTTCCGTGGAGAGGGGTTGTTCATCTCATCCTGCGCGACCGAGTTCAGGATAGATGGGTTACGTAGGGACAATAAGATGTTATCAGACTTTAGATCTTGTTTTTCCGTTAGCTGTGACCGATCTTAGAAGCGAATCGGTTGAATGACTAGTTACCTGTGTGAATAACGTGGCATTCGGTGTGGAGGTACCGCAGTCCTTCCAGTATAAGTTTAGATACCGGTTTCAAGACGTCGAGGGGAATGATATTTCCTTCGAAACGACGTTTCAGCATCCACAGGGGTTCACAAAGCGCATCAAAGACCATGCAAATATGAGTGCCGCCCGGACTAGCAACACGAAACGAGTCTAACAGAATAGCGACAAAGTTGCGCCCTGGATGCTGGGGATTTGCTTTAGTTATATGCTCAGTAATGCGCAACTCCTTCTCCGCAGACTCTTGAGATGCATAATTGCTTGCGTTAACTTTGATGGCCACATATTGGGGTTGAAGCCATCGCCATCTATTACACAGTGAGACAAGGCTTGAATATGTTATCAGATATTCTTCACATACTGGTGGAGATCGCGTGCTAGCCATACTGTTGAACTTGTTCCCCAACCTATTTTGGTGACGATTTGGTATCGGTTGTTGAGTATCTCATAAAGCCGTACAGGATAAAAGTGCTGAGGCTTATAATGGGGTGTGTGCTCTTCCTCAACCAGATCTGCCGTAGGGAGTAACTTTATCGGGAGGGGGGGGGGTTTGTAGGGAACGGACTGAAAAATTCTTCTAAGGTATCTTCTAAGATACATGGCCACGAAGAGATGAATGAATCGCTGCCCACTTTGGCGTTGACCGTTGCTGGTCGTGTTGAAAGCAGGGGGAGGCGGGTTTATAAGCGCAATGTGAAGCATGCACGGGCCAACAGGCAACTTGTCATGTGATTTCTTTTAATAGCCTTGTTGAAGTATCTATTCATCCAACCAACTAATTAGAAAGAATAATACTTCGCTATAAGTTACCGGCCCCTCTTCATGTCCAGTCAAATCATTTATTAAAGCTGCTCCTCGAATACACCACTCGCCCGTCTTTATACCAATGCCCCGACGTAATCCGCATTCCCTCCTTGTTGAATATCTGCCCCGATACGCGCAGGTCAGGGTCTGCTTCAGAGTCATGTTCGTCGCCCCTAGCAAAATGATAAGCAAGATAATTATTTTACAGCAATCTTCATTACTTACGCAACTTCGACCCTCTCAGCCCATTTACTCAATTTTGGGTTTATCTCAATTGAGCGGGTAATCATCGTCTCATACTCAGGTATCGCTTGGGTGTTTTTCCAGAAAATGTTGAGCATTGCCCGCACAGTGGTCGAGAAGGATCGCGACATACTGGGAGTTCGTGATAGTAACGGTGATGGTGATGGGGTAATGGACTGTTGTATATGAATATGAGGCAAATGGAATGATGATGGGGATGTTCTCGATGTACTCAACTGGAGTTGTCGTTTATATATCTTAATTTCCCTCAACATCGGCCGTCTTCCACATGAGCAGAGCGCGTATTAATTGGCGACAATCAGTCGGTATTGAAGAGGGTGAATCCCGCCACGCCCTACATTTCGATGTTGGTTAGCGCCTACGTGGAGAATGATCCATGCAATGTATACCGCTGCGAGCCGCGAAGATGGGGGTTAGTTGAAGCGAGAAACCTTCAGCAAGCCCTGACTCGCGAAGGTGGGTGAGTATTGGCTGAGGTTCAACGGTGGACCTACGCTGTTTTCACGATTCTCCCAGGCAGCAGGCCTTTCTCCGGGCTTCTAGAGCGCAGAATGCCGTGAATCCAGGTGGATAGATACGGTAAGCAATGCTACAATTCAACTATAGTAGGAGCGTGGCTCCGTGTCTTCGGTGCTGGTGGCAATCGTTGCGTGCAGCACCAATCGCGCGTCGTGCCGTTTAGACACGAGACGGACTGTCAGGACAATCCAGTGCGTCCGATCACTCAATGCCCCTTCCGAGGAAGAATTCAACCCTGTGAGTAGTAAATATCATAGTTCCTTTAATCGCCAGTTGCCTTACAGGTTCCCTCGGGCATAGAAACCCTATTACGTAGATGAGGTGGAGATCAGACAACGGAGAAGTAGCCCATTGATGAGGGAAGATGCCTCTCGGGCCCGCCGGAAAGTAAATTGCATATTGGGGTCAGCATGAGGAGCGTGGCCAAAACCCCGTTTCGGCGGCAGATCTCAGACCATTATTATTGGTTGACATTCTGAACCGTGGTTCAGAATGTCAACCAATAATAACTACCTATCCATTTTCGGAAGCATGACTAATACTTGAACCAGAAGCTCAACTATCTGAGGGAGATCTAAAGTCCTCCCCACTTCTTCTTTCACTCTCACAAATTGTATTGTATGATCACTGACCGCTCGTGAGAGGCATTATTCCCATTCTTGACAGTTCCTGCCTGCCTGCGCCCGACTGCTCAAATATTCCCTGTTCTGACATTGTAATTTTCAACATGATACAGAATGTTGATGATGTTTCCACTGCAATTGAGATCTTGGTTCGCTTTATACGTCTATATGACAAGGTGGTTGCAGAAAATATCAGCCTTTTGCTAAATCCAATTATGCGCGGTGACATTAATGGTGGATTACTGGTACTCAAGAAGCGTTTATGTCAAGCAACTGACCAAGTAGCGGCCACCGAAGAGACCACCAACGAAGAGACCACCAACGAAGAGACCACCAACGAAGAGACCACCAACGAAGAGACCACCAACGAAGA